TAATAAGGATAAATACCAGAGCACTCATACGTAGAATTTACGGCGCCCACACTCCCATTGGGCTGTAAGCCCTTAACATCAAAACATATTTCATTATATCCCGTAATAAACACCCAGACATACCCAGACATACCCAGAACATAATGCAAACAACGCCAAAAGTGCAAAATGTCTCTCACGATGCTGATTTTGACAAGACTCTTGATACTTTTGCACGCCTCCTCTTTTTTTCTCTAAAAACAAAAACAAAAAACAAAACAAAACCCAAACAAAAAACAAAATCAAAAAACAACAACAAACAAGTTTGAGGGGAATAACACTTGAAATATCCATGCTTAAAAGTAAAGCTACAACAGAATTGTGTCCCTTGTCTTGTGCACGATTCTCCCTGCACATTATAAAGGCGAATCAATCTCATTTCAAGATGCAAGCAATACTTCAAACATACACCATTCTCCAGGACACAGGGTCACTGGAAGGCAGATACTCACTTTATGATTTTATTTGTTTTGTCACTCTTTGTGTAAGAATTTTCGTTGTGTTCTTTGGCAGTGAAAATCAAAACTAAAATGGTGATCTGAAAAGAAAAACAAAGAACTTTAGTCTAAATGGAGACACAAAATCATTAATGTTTAGTTTAAAATAATGTAAAATTTAAATGAAGTAACTAGTAACAACAAAATTAAACTACGGCTACCCACAAGTACAAGTGAAACTATGATCACTTATAAAGTTACTACAATCAGTGAGGGACATTTGTAAAATATAAAGAAATGCAACGGGCTTTAAGCGGAATACGATATCTAAACTAGTCATCAAAATATTATTTCACATTAATGATTTTATTTGGTTCAAGGGAGACAACTAGTAAAATGTTTTAACTTGCCAAGAAGGAGATAGGATTGTAGCCCTTATTACTTTCTTGTTTAAGTTGCTATCCAAAGTAATAACAGAAAACGTATTAATAAATTATTACTCACGGACATGATGCCTATCGCAGGGCCTATAAATAACCACATGTGATCGGGCGCCACCCAGCACCTGGCAATGGGAAGGAAAAACAAAGTGTCACAATAATTATTCCCCCAGAAACTCCAAGGAGAAGACAAGCAAGTCCGAAATAAATCCAGAGCATTATCAACGTGTGTGCTTCATGTCAACTATTTTGAAGTAAAAAAAAATTGAACGATATGATTTCATTGCGTAGATGTTAAAAATGACAGATATATCATCGCTAAGCTTCCAAATACTTGGAGTTTTATTTTATCTACAAACAACTACAACTGATTACCAGAAGCGAATGAAAAAAGCAGAACTAGCGGTTGAATACGCCCATCTGAGCAAAGTATTATCATTAAATAGTCATTACAACACTGTCATTTCAAAGGTGAGACTTCTTTCTTTCCTTTATTTTGCTTTGAAAAAATATCCTGAAACATTTTAGTTAAGTTGACCTCTATTAGTTAAATATTTAGGCCGTATATTGTGATTCTTGTAAAACTTTAGGAGTTTTTGTGAGTTTTGTAAATACAGCTTTGTTTTGTTTGTTACTTGCTGTGAGGTAAGCCATGTGGGTGTGGCACCAAAGGCTAAGCAAGTCAGGATGAAAAAGAATAGAGCGCTACTCTAGAATTTCAAAGTGCTATCTTTTCAGTACCTAGTTTTGAGAAATTTGATGTTAAGCTTTTACGAAAGCAATTCTTTGAATGTCTTGATAACAACTCTGAATATCTTACAATTTTGATAGAGAGAATAGAACATATTGTTTCTGACCTCATGGTCTCAGTAACTCAAAACAGCCAAAATGTCAGTTAGAACTTCGTAATTCTAAGGTAGCGGGAGGTGGATCTTACGCCATCATGACAAGACACCCAAAGAAAGCGCTTGCAGAACCATGAAAACAACTCGAGTTTTCCGAGATCAAGAGATGTGGTAAGCATGAGAACATTAGTCGCCACCTCAGAATTCCAATGTTCTATCAGCCTTATAGTAACTAGTTTTGAGAAATCAGACGTAAAAAAAATGAGTTTCACACCATGTCAAACTTTTTCAAATGCAATTCTTTGAAC